TTCCAAAATCCTGGTTACTTACCGTGTATTTTGCTATACATAGTTCCCACAGACCAATGAATGTCACATGACCTCCTCGGAGACGCCATCTTTGATGGCACGCTGCTGTGTTTGTGCATTCCATTAAACAGAAGAATGAGAATAAATGTAGATATTCAAACGCAAATTGGAAAAAAAGGGCAACTTTTGAGCAAATAATTGTATATTAATACAATGGCACCACAGTTTAACGTGCTACGGACATGTTTTACATATTTGATCAAATTATGCAGCAAAAATTAACAAGCAATGCAAACATTTCTCAAAAACTTTAGATTTAATACCAGTTGGAGCTCCATTTAATTATTTTAATTATATTAACAATTAATTTAATTAATGCTAATGCCACACGGACACTCTGGATTGCTGTTATTGTTTATTTCCGCGTTTTTGACCGTATGTTTTGGTGAATGGTGGGCAACTGATTTTTCCAGGCGTAAAGAGCAGTTTATTTTATGACACAGATCTTTTTACAGAAGCAATGCTGTTTGTGAACATTGTTTTAGCCCACCATAGAACTATTATTATCTATTTAATACATTTACGTTGCCCTCGAGAGCCTCGGACGCGACACCGATCCTCCTCATAATAAAGTAATCTAACGCTAAATAATGAAACTCTCAAGTTACCAGATATCAGCATACACAAGTTAGTACTGAGTAAATTACGTCTGTCAACACATTATAAGATACGATACGCACCTGACACAAAGTGCTCCGAGCATATTCTTGCGTGTTTTGAGGGAGTTTCTTGCCTGTTTATCTTCGCAAGCCATAACCTCCGTGGTTGTTCTGACAAAAGCTTAGTCTTCTCACATTCATGAAGTCTAATGATGGGTATACTGTAAAATCCAAGTTTAACGGAACCTCCGGCACGATTTGAACATCCATTGACCCAGCAGGAGATGACCATTTTCAACTTTATCACGACATTAACACGTCTCAGCTTCTTTTTCTATTGTTTTGCCCACAGAATGCCAACACAAATGGCGCCGGGTCGGCAAATCCCCGTATGTAGTGACGTCATGTGGGAACTATGTATTAAGTTCGCCGGATTATATCTCCGTAACCGCAACAGCTGGAGATATGCCGCTTTCACCGTAATGCGCTGTAATAAGTGATCTGTTTACCCGGTAAATATCACCTCGCGGCGACGTCATTAACCTGCGCGGAATTCCGGGGATATCCCGACTCATTTTTTTTAGAGTCCAGACTATCTGTGGCCCACTCTGCCTCATATTCGTCAACTTTATTAATTCATATCTCAGGAAATAAACGGAATATCAGAACAATACACACATTTATGGATTCTATGAATAAAAATATGTTTATTGATAGTGGTGGTAGCTATATATTCTGATTATTTAGCTGCTCAGAATCAAATGAACTAAAGTGAGTAAGACAGCGACCTCTTTTCACCACAGCAACACTAATTAGCTTGAATCTCACATAAAAGGCAAAAAGGTTAAAAGAGTTGCACACTATTATGTACAAAACCGATGAAAATATGTTTATACCTTGTTCAGATGACAGTGAAACCTGCTACAGATTCCAGCCATGACTGCTGTCCTCTGCTGTGAGAGTCATTCTCCTACGTCATCGCCGCCATTTTGGCGCTCCCTAGCGTTTGTGAAAAAGTGCAACTTCAAAGCCGTTTTTTTAACATAATTCATCTGAACATGACAAAACTAACACCCGGAATATTATAAAAACATTTGGATACTGGATAGCAGCTTGGTAAATTCTAGTACTACTATAACATTGAGAAGTTAATCTGAATTTAGGGAATCTGGAGTGCAGTGTGACATCACTTTGTACAGTGTGAGCTCCGTCTCTCTGTGCGTGTGGTATAAAAGCAGCCTAGTTTCACACACACCCAGCAGCAAGTTGGAGTGTATTCTGGCAACATCTTGTAATTTTAAATTAAATTACATCAGTTAATCGCCACTACCAATGAGATAATTCTGTGGCTTAGGTTCTGGTGTGTAGCTTTACAATTATCTTATTGTGTGGAATGAGAAAGTCTGGTGTGTAAACTATTGCTTTAAGCAGCAATGACAACTCTTCTGGTTTTTTAGTTTGGACTTTTCAGTGAGCTCAAGAGCTAATTTCCACCCGTAGTCCCTGGGCAGGCTGATGTTATGATATTACATTAAAAATAACAGACATTCATGGAGAGACAACAGTCTTTGTTCAAAGTAATATTAGAAGTCCCATTAAGACTGAAAACAACATCCACAATTTCAATTTGTGCACTTACAATAAGATTGTTCAATCTCTGGGCTACAAGATGGTGGTGGTGATCTCTCCATGATCACAGTAGAAGTGGTGGAGTCATCAGGCTCATTGGTGGACTTCTCCTGTTCAGAGTGAAAGCATAGTTTGCGTGCCTTCTTGCGTGAAGGTTTTGCTCCCTGCTGCTTTTTGGGAGTTGAAATATTTTGAACTCTCTTAATGAGCGTTTCCAGAGATTCCTGGAAAGACAGACACAAATTGTGTAATAAACACTAAACCAAATCATATAAAGCAGTGTTTCTCAAACTGGGGTACCCTCTAGGGCGCCCTCTAGGGGTACGCCAAAGAACCAGTGAAAAAAAAAAAAATCAGTAAAAAAAACAATTTTTTTTAAATTATTTTTTTTTTTTACCAGGAAAGTCCCATTGAGATCAACTCATTGACAGCCATGGAGGTCATTTGAGGACAACATTGTTTTTCAATCTTTTCTTGTCAGTCTGTGTCCCCTGTATCATACAGTCTGGGGTTTGGCTGTAGACAGTATTTTATTAGGCCAGCAGGTGGCAGCAGAGCCCCCTGGCTTGGTCAAAGATCACTCTGAGCACTCTGAGCAGGAGAGACAGAGGTGAAGCAGACATGGAGTAATATAGTCAGGGTCAGGCTACATTTGGAGGCAGTTTGAGCAGTAAATGTGTCTCCAAAAGTCAAAGTTATGATGACCTACAATGTATTGTAGTGCGGGGGGTTCTAGTATTTATGCAACAGGCCTCGGAATATTGAATCTAACAACATATTTTTATGCATTTGGGAATCATAAGACTATACTGTAAATACATACAAGCAAAAGAAAGGCAACACAAGCGACAGTCATCTTTACATCTGTGTTTAATGTTACCGTCGTCATAAAAATAAACAAAAGCTTGGTGTCACGCAGCGCATTCAAGTCCACACGTAAAACTGCGGCGACGGCGAGTTCTGTGACAAATACACGATACAAGAGCACAATATACAGGAACATCGTCAGCACTCTGAGAACACCAAACTACAGAAACAAGCGTTCACAAAGGCTTAAATATAGAGCTTTTTATGGAAGGACTGGGCTCTGCGGACAGGAGCGGGCTCACAGTCGCACTGCTTTTTCAGTGTAATCAGTGCATCTATGAAAAAATAATACATTTAAACTCAACTAGATACAATGTAATGTAAAGACTACCATTACTTTGGTTTGCAGTTCTTTTATGTTTACAATGTGATATTATGTGAAAATTAGGCCCCTCTGTCAGTGTGTCCAATCCAAACACAGAAAAACAAGGCTGTACACGGGATTTAAAAAAACTGAGGTCCAATGTTTTTTATGGATTTTGTTACATTCAGACGATTGGTCCAAATATTCAGCCCAATAAACTGCCTTAGACAATCATAAACCACACCTCTCCTGCAAGAAAAATGGATCGATGGACTAAATATTCCCGTTTGATATTTAGGGCAGTATTAGCCAGGATACCTTAGAGCAGTTAACTTACATAGACATTATCATCTACTGTCAGCCAGTAGACAAAGGTGTTGAGCAAAACTTTTATATAGCAGAAAATAAATGACTGTACATGAGGAAAAATAAAATTGAAACAATTCACATTATTTAACAGTTATAAGTTAATTGTTAAATAATGCAGGGAGCTAAACCTCATAAGCCTTAATGCTGCGTACGGCCATGTGAACACCAAAGGAGAGTGATTAAAACAGAGAGTGAAGTAAGCACTATAAAGCTAACAGCAGTTTACGAACCCGCCACTGTGCGGAGCCCATGTCCGAGGGAATGGTAGTTACTTTTCAAATTGTGAAGGGAGTGTCCCAATGCAAGTGTTCACCGATAGACCCGGCCAAATAGTGACTCACAGGGCTATTTCTTGCACATATGCTAATACATGTTAGATGAAGATAGATTATTGTCTTTAATGAAATGAAGACTGCATGTCGTGGTCCGGTTTGTTCACTTAGGTATCCCAGCTTAAAGTCTGGTTTCCACTGAAGAAAAGTTGAGTATATTATGCAAAGTAGGTCAAGCTTGAAAAAAAGAACCCAATGCAAATGCTTTGAAATTACATAGACTTTTTCCAATTACTCAGATTTACTCAGAATACAAATACAGGTCATATTTTCATACGGCATAAGGCTCTATTGTCTTCGGCGGAAACAAGTATTAAATGCCACAGTACCTGGTCATGCAAAGTTTCATCCCAATGTTAAAAACAACATGTTTATTTTGTCGAGCAACAAAGAGTGCAATGATCACTTGGGCTAACTCGTGCTAGCTTTCCTGCCAATCAGAAAAAGACACTTTTAAACTTATTACATTGAATATTTCAGATGTGCTGAAGCGGAGAAGTTCAGGAAGAAGCTCGAGCTGCTGCAAACAAACACATTTTATGACAGCTTAAAGATCAGGCCCTTTCCAAAAGTAAAGCTTATCACTGCATTTCTCACTGTACAAAGCGGCAACTACGTATTTTACAACATCAAGAACATTGACAGAAAATAAGTTACATCGTACTAAAACTCTTCAAATGTCAATAGCAACATTTCTCAGTCTGTAAAGGTCCATACACAGAACAAGGCTTAAAGCTATATGCACGTTTTCCGATCTCCCGCCATATCGTCTCAAACTCCGCCCTTGAAAATCGCAGTTCCGTCAAAAAGAAAACCGATTACGCTCTTGCAACTCTTGGCTCAGGTATCGGTGGTGTGTCGGGGCGAGCGATTGGAACTCTCCTCGCCTCTGGCCTTTGCTCGTTTCTCCGGCACGGCGTATCTCCGTTTGGCTTTCTTGCGTTTCTTGTCGGAGCACCAGACCCTTTCGCAGTACTCTTCCACTCGCTGCGCGTCCCCGTAGCCGATGAGCTGCAGGAAGTCCTTGTACCACAGTCTGGAGTTGTGTCCTGTAGGGGGAGCTCTGGGGCTGACGCTGGGGCCGGGAGAGGAAGGGGAGGAGAGCGAGGTGGAGGAAGAAGACGGTTGGCACTGCGTGGCGAGACGATGGTAGGCCTGTCACCACAACACAAATGAAATCGGAGAAATTGAATTAAAGATTATGAGCAAAGATACGAGTCCTGGATCTATAGCCCGTGCGTCTGTGGAAGCGGATCCCGCCCTCACTTTGTCACACTGGGTTTTAAGAGTGTTTCTTTCTGATGTAGGAGGGTCTAAGGACAGGGGTGATAATCCAGGACACTCGACATTCAACAACAATAATGGACTTTATCACTAAATAGCTACTGTTGCGATCTAGGGTTATACAAAAATAAATGCAATTGAATTGAATAAAAAAAATATGAGTCAGCCGATCAAAGGCACCCGTGTCGGCCAATATCGGTATTTCAGTAATAGCCAATGTCTTTTTCTCATTTGTCATATTAGAATAAATATTAGTGTTGTCCAGCCTGCTGGTTGAAACACTGTACTGTACAACTCAAGTCCCCTTAAGACAGGCATGTCAAAGTCAAATACATCAGAGGGCCAAAAAAAAATGTTTGCTACGCGCCAAGGGCCGGACTCGAAAATAGTAAAAAAAAAAAAAAAGCTCAAACTTGGTGAAATGTAAAAGAATGGATTATACTTTGGGAAATACAAGTGGATATTCTTATTCAATGAACAGTTACGGAGAGAAAGAGACTAAGCAAGGATGTGGAACGTCTAATTTGTTGGAGCAGCAGAAGACGAAAGGTAAAAAACGAATACAGACGTGATTTATTTTGTGCCCATATTATGCGTTATATCTTTTTAATGCAAAGTCTTATATTATTTACTTGCATATAAATATAGCTGAGAAAATAAGCTTTAAAATGATATATAGCTTGTGGCTTATGAAGTTCAAAATACATCTGCTATTGCCAGCAGATGTATTTTTTTCCTCGTTTGCTCCCGCCGGCGGGGGCTAGCGAGCTTAAGGGGTCAACACATTGCCTCAATGGCAGGCAATGTCCCGGGGGCCATAGATAATTCATTCGCGGGCCGGATTTGGCCCGCGGGCCTTGACTTTGACACATGTGCCTTAAGAAATCGATCAAATGAACTTCAAAAACAGAACACTTAATTTGAAATCAGATTAAGATTGGGAATACTTAATCCATCCCACCCAGGGCAATTCATTTGAACAGCATTGGGTGTGGGGTCCATACAAACAAATGAACACAATACAACAATCACATCAAATACAAGTCAGCCTGTTACCTGGAGGCTATTATTTTTTGTTTGGTTATTTAGTAAAACGGATAACAACCATAGAATCGGTTATATATAAATATATCTATGACAAATAATCAGTATGGGTTGGACCCTTATAAACACTGAAGATGCAGGTCAATTACTCTAAAAGCCAAGATGATCTAAATCAGGGGTATAAGACTGGTTCCAGAAAGGAGTGGGGTGGCTGCAGGATTTCGTTCCAACCAAGCAGGAGAACACTAGACCTGTTTTCCAAGTTAAGACTGGAGTGGTGGCGTCTGGCGTGCTCCCGTTTGGTTGAAAGGAAATCCTGCAGCCACACCGGCACTTTGAGGACAGTCCAATTTTAAATGAATTGAATTAAATTCAATCTTAAGTCGATTGTGATTCTTAAACCCAGACTGCTGTGACAGTGCCTGCGATGGTCACACGTACCCGGTGGATGTTGCGGCTGACAGCGGCGTCCACGCGCTCCGAGCTCAGCACGTGCACAGTGACGCGAAGCAGCGTGTGCACGTATCCATGCTCCACGGTCTGGCAGACGTACAGCCCCGCATCCGAGCTCTTCAGCCGGAGGAAGAGGAGGCCGTGAGGGGTCCGGATCACACGCTCATCCCCACGGACCTATGTGGAGAGGGAGCAGATGAAGAGGAGATTCCACATCTTCATACTTTGCACTTCAAGACATGTCTGGTGATTGTAAATTGAGGAAGATTTGAGACTGATTTTTAAGAGCATTCAATCATGCTCTAGTAGTTTTCCTTCTCTTTTACACACTTGAAGCTGTATTTTGCGTGTTTCACGTATGTCTGAGTCAATTAATGTTGCTTTTAAAGCCAGTTATTGCTTTGGTGATCTCTTTTCACCACCAGCCTCACCATATTAATGTAACGTTATTTAATTATAAATCTATCATGCAAATCTGCCGTCAACACTAATCATTGTAATTATATTATTCTTTTAATATTCACAGTTTATTATCTCCGCCAAGGGGTTCTGTTTTCACTTAGGTCAAGGAACAAATGAGTACAATTTGGAGGTAACCCGGATCACTGTCTGGCTCCAGGACCTTTTATTCAAACGGCTCTTATCAGTGCTTTTATTCAATTGAGCCGTGTCCAGTCCGAAGACTACATTCAGGAAGCCCTCCCTGAGCACCATTTCTGTCACATACATTTAGCTCCACCCCGTCTGTCTTAAAGCTCCTGTCTCAGTCCTGTAAAAGTTAGATGTCATTCTATCACTGTGACATCACACTCAGCAGTTTTTTACCTGAAAACCAAAGCAGTGCCCATATATTAGTTTTTGCAATTGAGAGCTGGTAATTTTCACTCCTCCCCCTGGTGGTAGCATAGGGATTTACAAGTACATAATCATTGTTCACCCTTCATGCTTGCGTCTAAATTTTTTTCTACTTAAGATATTATTTCACGTTCTTAAAATAGACTCATAATATGAATGGCCAAAATAATGCAGAATACAGTATGTCTTGACTTTTTTAAATAAATGGGAAATGCAATGGAAATCCTTAGCATCTCGTGTTCTGCGCCCACTTTTAGAACCCCTGGTCTACAATGACCTGAACAGTGCACGTCACAGACCACTGCTTTTCATGACGACTTGTGGGAACTGTCTGCTCCACATTTTGAAAATAGCATGACCCTTAAAATGTGTCCCCACAGATGAACGCCTGTTTCAGCCAAACACAGTGTGCCTTTTAATCAATAAACTGACCAGTTAAAACATTGGGCAATAATCTTACTTAAGCAAATGAGTTGATTATTTTATTTCTGTTCAAATTATACAATTGTTAAAAGTGTTATTTTACTTTAAAGTATCAGTTTGTTTTTTTTAAATAGCACTTCTTTGGACACTCAAATACGCTTCACATGACATTGTTCTGTCATCCCATACACAGTGGTGATAAACTACTATTGTTGCCACAGCTGCCCTGGGGCACTGACAGAAGCGAGGCAACCAGTATGCGCACCAACCATTCACACACACACCCAACTCATTTTAAGCAATGTGGGTGAAGTGTCTTGCCTGAGGACACAATGGAAGTTTGGCACTTTACAGCCGCAGCCGCTCCATTGTGGCACATTGTGTTACGCGAGGTCTCTCACATAAGTACTAACCAGGCCCTGCTTAGCTTCAGAGGTGTGACGGGATCTGGTTTTCACATGTATGCCCACAAATTCATAAAATCTATTTTAGACTGAGACAGGAACTTTTAGACAGAAGGGGCGGAGTTACGTGTTTGGGCCAGAAGTTCTTGGTGTGGATGGATCTAAAAACAACTCCAGGTCTGTTTTTGATGTGGGAACAATGTTGTACCATGGTTAAAAACGCAATAGTCTATTCAGCTATGTCTCCTTTTTAAAAAACCTGTTTGCACTTGTTATCCCCTTGATCATACACTACACCTCCGCAGCAGAACCGTCAGCCTCTCCATCAGCCTCTCCATCCCATACAGCTCCAGTCCTTGCTTCAGATCTGTGTTTTGGATGATCTAAGTATTCATATAAACATTACGATGCAGGGGAGCGTGGAGGGACACTGCTTAGTCTGCAGCTGCGGTGGCTCCATTTTCCTCCTCGCTGCCATTTTCAATACTGTCTCTCACTGGGTGGCACGATGGAGAGTTTTCTGACAAGCAAGCCATGGTACTCCCTTACAAAAATGAAACGAGTCAAGAAATCTTATCTCTCCCAACTCTTTGCCTGCCAGAAATGTACACCCCCTTCCTAACTGTTGCCTGGTAAGATGATTCATTTGTGGCACCAGATTCAGGGTGTACTAGGGTACCCTGGTGCACATGTTACGTAATTGGCCCCATGCAAAACAAGAGCACCAAGACCCAGAAGGGACGCTACTTGTTTATAGAGATGTGTTTTAGTTTGCTTTCAAATACATAAATATGAAATCACTAGGGCCAATTTTCTCTAGAACGCCGGAAAGAACAAAATCCTACTTTATCTGTTTTAGGACCCTTTGGAGCACAAACTCATGGCTAGACTCAAAGCAGACGCCCTGTTGTTTTAGCCTACAATGACTAATAACAAGTAGGAACAATCTCTGAGCAGAAAAAAAGACGTGCCCCCACAGTAGTTTGGTAAAAAGACTTGAATTTTTAGACTATTAATCTATAGTTTGTGTCTGGGCTCTAAAAGACCCTAGAATGACTGTTGAGTTCAACTTTTGTAGTAAAGCAAAATACTCTGAGTGAAATACCTGCACAATCTCTCTCTATTTTTCCCTTTGGTTTTTTTTTCTATAATTTTATGCACCACCAATAAACAGGATACAAAAACTGCAAAAATAAGTGTTTGAAAATGGAAAGTGTTTGGACGCTTTTCCAACACCTCTCACTCATACAACACCCACAAACATGCAGACAAGACACAGGCCCACTCTCGGAGCCTCTCTCCCACTCCCACTATTCGCTCTGTGCCTCAAGCATCAATCTCTTTCCTTCACACACTTCCTCTCTACTTCTGGTCCCGATTCATCCCAGAATGTTTGATTTGGCTGAAAATCAGAGAGATCCATCTTCATTTTGATCTGTCACATTTTGATGGTTGTACTGTAGAAATTGGCTGAGACTAAGGAGTGTGAGTGGGTAACCAGCCCCATGTGATGCACTTGCAGATAGGTTTACAACTGTGACATGTTAATCTGTCATTAATATGCAGCCCAGGGGTTGACAAATGCATATTGTAAATTTAATATTAATGTTTGGCCACAAGCTAACACCACATTCCCATCCAAACAACTCTTTTGGGAGCGACTCCTGGAGGTGGGTCTGGTCTGTTCTCTCACCAACCCAATCAAACCAATTTAACGTAACATTGTCTTGATGTCAGTGGCCATTAAATCCTTAATCATATAGAACTGAAGCGTATGGGATTGAGGATTTGAAACCACTTTTAGCTTTGCAAAAGTCTACTGATTGAAAAGCCAAGGGCGCTGTAAAGTTCACGTTTGCTGTTATTTATTACAAATGTTTTTGAAAATATGACATGCTTTTCTTTCTTTTTCTTTTCCCTCAAGAACCAAGAAAATACCAGATACGGGAATCACCACACCAACCTCATGGTGTCGTCCAATCTAAAAGACTTAATCGCATGTTTCTCTGTACAAAGCAACAGCGCCTCAAAGCCTCAGTCCTTGCATATCTCAGTCTTCCGTTTTTCACTTGATAAAAAGTTGTAACTTGGAACGTATTTCTACAATTATTTTGAATCCATCACAATCATTGCCAAGACTGAACTATTTGTCTTTCACAACATGACACATGCTAATGAATGTACCCTAAAGGAAATCCTGTCACACTTGTAATTCAAGCGACATAAGCAGACCATCTGGATGAGGCGGTGGTCCAATGTGTGCCAGTTACATACTGTTTTTTCATCTGTTTTCAAACCTCTGTTAATAGCAGCATCTTGTAAGCTTCAAAACAGCTGAGTCAGGCCAAAAGTGGAAGCTGTATCTGTTCACACAGCTGCAGTAAAGAACATTTGATATTGCATTATATAAATATTCTGTTACCCTAACCCTAACCCTTTTTAACTGGCATGACACAATGACTGTAGCAAGTTATACAATGTTTTATTTAGGTTGCTTCAAATTCAATTTTATTTTTTACCGATCTTGTTTATAATGCTCAATCTCTGCGAGCCACAAGTGAGTAGCTATATATGAGTATACAGTTTATTTGTTTGACTTGGTGAGGATGCATTCAGTCTGTCTTCGAGATCTCGGGCCCCTGAGTTGAGATGCCAGGTGTTTTTGTTCATCAGCCTGGATTTTTATGTCTCCAATAATGCAAATCAAGAGTATTATCAGCAATGACAGAATCTGTTACACCTCATGCAATATTTTGTCATTTATAATGTGATAAAAATGCAGCCCCAAAAAGGAAATGTCGCTCTTGTCCTTTGGCGTTTAGCTGATGTAACTTCAGGAATATTTATATACGTGTGAGGTGTGTGAGAGCGTGTGTGTGTTTGCTTGAGTGTGCCGTGCACGCTCGTGTGAATGTGCGAGTGTGTGTGCTAGTGTGCCTGCATGTCTGCGCATGTGTGTGTTTGTGTGAGTGTATGTTTGTGTGTATGCATATGTGTGTTTGTTAGAGCGCGCATGTTTACTTGAGATTGAGAGTATGTATGTATGCGTGTGTGTATGCATCTATGCACATGTGTTTCTGTGTGTATTCATCTGTGCACATGTGTATGTGTGTGTATGAATCTGTATGTGTGGGGATGCATGTGTGTGTGTTCATCTGTGCAAGTGTGTATACATCTGGGTATGCACGTGTGCAATCAATTCAATTTATTTTTGTATAACCCTAAATCACAACAGTCTATGTCCGTGTGTATGTATCTGTGCACATGTGTATGTATGCGTATGTGCATGTGTGTGCATGTATATTTGCGAGCATGTACATATGCCGGAGTACACGTATGTCTATGTGTGTGTGGACGTGTGTGTAGGTGTGTGTGTTTGTGTGAATGTTGCGGTCACCTCGTGGCGGTCCCCGTCCCGCTGCACAAACCACAGCACTTTGGCCTGAAGAGAGCGCGGCACACACTCCAGTAAAGTGCTGTTACCCTCCACTCCATAAGCACGCTTCTCCTCTGCACGCTGCCACTGCTCACCTGCACCCACCCACACACACACACACACACACACACGCACACACACACACACACAACAGTCGTGTCAAAGGGCTTTACAAATGTATCGATTCCTCATCAACAGATTGGGGAATCAAACAACTAGAATACAGAAAATACAATAATGACAAACGTATATGAGCAATTGGTCCATAAGGGACGGGAAGACCACTGTCCGGAAATGTTCAAATGTAAAAAAATTAAATATACCAAGATCTCCGAGCTTTGAGCTAAACAATATATGTTTTTTTCCATCATGCAGCAGTGGTGCAAATTTTTATCTTTATACATGTATTTGAAAATATGGGATATATTTGAAACGCATAGAAAACTAAAATAACATTGAATCTATTTAATACACAGAACCACAGACTCTCACAATGATCTTGTGAGTGTGACTCTACAGACATAATATAAAGAATCGTGACAAAGTAATATTTTGAAAGAGACATGTTTAAAAGATCTATCTGAAATCAATCAATCAATCAATCAAATTTTATTTATAAAGCGCTTTTCATACAAAAAGTGTAACACAAAGTGCTTTACAGTTTAGTTAAAAACAATCCAACATGCCCAGCCCTAAACCCTCCTCCCCACAGACCCCCCAAAATCACATTTATAATTATATATACAACACACACACACACACACACACACACACACACACACACACACACACACACACACACACACACACACACACATATAAAGTCATATCAGGTAAAATAGGTAAAACAATAAAAAGAAATGGGGCTGGGAGCAGATGTAACCGGCTGAAGAAGCGTCATCCAAGGAGCCATCTGCACCAGGAGCAGAGAGCCGGCTGCAGCCACAGGCAACGACACAGGACCCAGAGGAGAGAGGGGCCCCAGACCCCACCAGGCCCAGGACTCAGACCCCATAGGACCCAGAGGAGAGAGGAGGCCCCAGACCCCCACCGGATCCAAGAGCCAGTCCCCCGAAGCCACAGCAGACCCCAGCTCTCAGTGCAGAGGGCTCCTCCAGAGGAAACACTGGGGACACTAAAACAATACAATAATACAATAGAAAGTAGAACAATAGAATGTGAAAATAAAAAGAAAAATGGCAGCTGCCTAATATAATAACAATAGTAAATGGGTAGATACAATAAATAATTAAAAATAGTAAATAATAAAAATAAATAAAAATATAATCCGTCTAAAAACATAAATAGATGTACTAAAAAGCAATAATAGATAATAAATACTAATCAAAAGCTGCTCTAAAAAGGTGCGTCTTGAGCCTACTCTTAAAAATATGAACGTTCTCTGCGGCCCTGAGCTCCTCCGGCAGACTGTTCCAGAGACGGGGGCCGTAGTGCTGGAAAGATGCCTCGCCGTGAGTGTGTGTCCTGACTTTGGGGATGGTTAGAAGTCTGCTGCCGGAGGAGCGCAGGGGCCGGGAAGGCTCATAGGATAAAAGCAAATCTGAAAGATAAGAAGGCCCAAGACCATTAAGACATTTAAAGACCATTAAAAGAACCTTAAAATCGATGCCACTTATTTCCAGTCCTGGGAACAACAAAGCTAAAGGCACATGTAGTTCCCAGCTCACACGTGTTTTCGGCACTAACCATCAATTTGCAGCCCGTTGCACAGCTGGACAGCGTTGCCATGGCGAACATCCTGGCGCCTGAATCGACGGCTGAGGAAGAGGAGAGAGAAAGTGAAGTGCCACATTACACACATTTCCTTCAAAGCTCCAAACGTATGAGTGTGTGATCAGTGGATGATTACACTGTGATGCAATAGTTTTAATTAAAAAGCAATTTAAATTGTTTAAAATTGGGGGTAAAAGATTATAAACCCAGAATTCAGGACACTTTCTATACAGCAACCTGGCTTCAAACAAATATTTCCTCAAATTTTGTGTACATATTTTTTTCTTTTCTTTATGTCTGTGATGGATTTTAGCAGGCCTCTATGAAAAAAGTGTTATGGCTCTACCTTCTGTCTGTTTCGCAAACTACTTGAATAAAACCCTGTCATCAAAATAGTCTTATACTTCTATACAAAATGTTTGTGAACCCCAAAGAATGTATACACAGCATATTAAAAACACAAGCATTTCAACACAATAGGAATAAAATCAGTAAAATGTTTTAATAATAATACATAAAAAATTGCATCTTTCTTATATAGTGCTTTTCTAGATGTTTAAATGTACTCCACATGCAATCATACAGCAACTGCCTCAATGTGGCACTAGGAGTTCCCAAAGGTCTCCCATCACAGTACTAACCATATCCTGCTATACACCACTTGAAAGATTTGACAAAATTGGCTTCAACATGCAAGTATGGCAACATAAAGTTGGGGTACATGGCATTTGTCAAAACATGTTTGTTCCAACAGAAAGAGAGTAAAACGTTGTGAGAAAATTAGACCACAACATTCTGTCCTCATCTCATTAAAAATTGTATTAGTTGTATTTTGCAAACTTGGAAGAAGAAGATCCTGGAATGGTTCTTGTTTGTGTGTGTTGTGTCTGACCTCTTAGTGTAGACTCCGTTGGGGTAGAAGCGGGAGCAGGTCAGGCCGTCCCAGGCGCAGTAGGGGTCCCGGGCCAGGCAGCAGTCCGCACACTCGGACCCGTACAGGTCGCACTGGTGCAGGCGGAGCTGAGCCACGCCCACCTCCGAGCCCACGTACAGCTGCTGCTACAGAAGGCAACAGAGGCCAGGCAGCATGTTAGCAATCACTCTATCCACAATGTCTGCGGCAATATCATCAAATTGAGATTGTAAATTCATTTCAATTTGTATAGCCCTAAGTCACAACAGAAGACGTTTCAGAGGACTTTACAAAGCAGACATTGGTCCATAGGGGGCGGGATGACCAATGTCCATAAAAAAGTCATGTTTTGAATATTATGATACATTTTGCAGCCATTTTTTATATAAGATTTTCTCAGACACTAACTTAAATGGTTAAAAATTGGGGGGAAACAAATGTTGCCACATGAGCAGGACACTTTCCATACAGCGACCTGGCTTCCAACAAATATTTCCTGGAATTTTTTGTGCAACTTTTTTTTGAAAATTGATTTTAGCAGGCCTCTATCATAAAGTACCATAGCTCTACCTTTTGTCTTGTTTACATACTATCTCTGAAAAAATCCTGTCATCAGAAGTGTTAACATATTTTATACAAACAATACACAGCATATCAAAAACAATTCATTTCAAAGCAATAACCATTAAAGTGTTTTTGTTTTGTTTTTCAGGCTAGCATGCAATTATTGTTGCTGTGGTAGCCTGGCATATCTTCCTTCCGTGTTTTGTTACTGCTGTTTCTGTATAAATCCCCCGTGGATGCATTACTAAAACATATGTACAATTACATCAAATCAAACAAACAACAATGCCATGTCATAATGCTTCCCTCCCTGGAACATGTTTACAAAGCAGTGCAACAGGAGAGGCCATGTGACACTGACACTGGAGTGAGTGTGCTGCAATGTCAGCCCCTGGTGGTCAAACGGCTGAAGTGCAAGACAAACAGGACTTACTCTTTTGGGAGAAATGATGAGCTCCTGGATTGGGGTGGGCACCTGTGGAAACAACAGAGTCTGAGTGTCACTGTTAGGGTAATACATGACCATGATTATTCAAGTTACAATATAATCCTATGAACAAAGAAAATAATACTTTGCAGTAACGTTTCAAGAAAAATAACAAACACAAAACCCCTGGTTCATATTTCATTATAATCGAATGTTTTTAAATTTGCAGAAAATACTATCCTATAATACAACATATTATTTCAATCACAGTAATAATGCATTGGTTTTATTTTGTTGATACTCAAAGAGGCTTCAGATGGCTTTATTCTTATACTCTGTACATCAGGCATGTCAAAGTCAAATACATCAGAGGGCCAAAAAATCTAATTTGCTGCGAGCCGAGGGCCGGACTGGTTCAATGTTTATTAACTCATTGCCTGCCAGCCTATTTCAGAACAGGTACTCCCATATTGCCAGCAGTTTCTGATGATTTTTATAGATTTTTCAAGACCCACAGAATATTGTGTACTATGACTAACTGAAATCCGAAACCAGATTCTGAAAGAATAGACTGTCTACTTTCATCAGCAAAAATAATTTTGTTTCTAGCTTGTAATCCCCAGTTGAGTAGAGGGAAGTTTTACTGAAATCACCAAAAAGCTGAGAAAAAAGAGGCACAACAAGTGCATCTAGCTGTTTTCAAACCATTCAGAGAGCGCTGCTGCCACCTTCTGGCTCAATTCAATATGCTCTCAAGCTTATCCCCAAACATATTAGATATAATAGACACCTGGGAACATGAAAATAGCGGAAAACGCAATTGACGTAATAGTGCGTCAATGGCAGGCAACGGGCAATGTAAAATTCATTCGCGGGCCGGATTTGGCCCGCGGGCCTTGACTTTGACACATGTGCTGTACACAGTGGTGATAACTGCTACTGTGGACACAGCTGCCCTGGGGCACACTGACAGAAGCGAGATCCACCAACCCTTCACGCACACACTGGACTCATTCTCGGCAGTATAGGGCAAGTGTCTTTCCTAAGAACACAAAAGCAGTTTACAGCCACAGCCGCCCCACTGTGATAACTAGTGTTCTCAGAGGTCTCCCATCTCAGTACTGACAAGACACAGCCCTACTTAGGTCACAGATCATTTCTCAACATTTTATCAAATATAAATGTATAATAAAATGTGAAGTGTAGAACAGATTCTATGATAAAGGTTAAAAAACAACCTCCAACTGATTCCAAACGATTTCAAACACTAAAAGAGTACTTGGTTAAGATGGATGAGGCAGAAGTATGTACCTACGCAGATACAGGGAGAACATGCAAACTCCGCACAGAAAGACCTGGAGGTGGAATAGAACCCAGGACCTTCTTGCTGTCAAAATACAAGCTCTGCTGCCCGGACAAGGACAGCGCGGTTTGATGGACAGCTCTCATTAGTCACGCTGCTTAGCCTGTTAGCCGTGGTCGTCACCTGCTCCACACTCTCCATCACTAATTATCACTAATAACTCCTCCAGATCACAGCTGACCCCTGACTTCTCCTGAATGTGACCTCTGTCCCTGGCCTCACCTTGAAGAGTTGCAGCTCCTCCAGCAGCACCTCCTCCATGGTGTCTGTGTCCGTGTTGTAGATGGTGATGAACTTCAGGACCGCGGAGTCGTCTGCAACAATATGGACAATGTAACAACACACGTACAAATGGAACAACACACTGGTGGCACATGGCGAGGCAGCGTTTCAGATCTATGCAGCTCGGATATGAAATGGTCTTCCTGAGGTTGTGAGACAAGCCTGACCATGTTCAAAACTAGGCTGAAAACATATTTTAATTTGTGTTTTTAAATAATCTTGTGAAGCACATGGAATTCCCTTGTACACGAATTGTGCTCTGCAAAGAAATGATTGATTGATTGAACACATGTACAAATGAAACAACGCAAACAAACACACGTGCACACATTGAGAAGCTGTGGAGTAAGAGCTGTAACTTCATCTGGTCTTTCTGATTCTTCTATACCAGGATTCAAGACTCAATATTGTTTATTTTGTCTCCTCTGCATTTCAATACAAAAAATACATAAAGACACCAACACACATGGTGTACAGTTCACACACACACACACAGACTAACGATTGAGTCGGCACCGTGGCACTCTGTACGCCTCCCTGAGTTCAAAAGCTCAGATCAGAGAGGATGCTCCTGGTCTGTCTCCTCATGGCCTTCTCATAGGGACTGCAGATGGAAACTAGCTCAAGCTAAATCTGGTGCAAAGCATCTTTAATTAATGTATTTGCACATTGTCCCTGTTGAAATAAATAAATAAAATAGAGCTCCTGCCAATGGTCCATAAGGGGCAGCTGACCCATGTCCATAAATGTTTGATAGAATTTATGGACAACAACAGCATATGGTATAACTTTCATGGTCCGCAGCTGTGGCCACTATATACTTTGGGCTGAGAGCTGATTGGCTGCTGCAGGGGTAATCTCTTTAGTGTATGGTTGGGCCAGAACCAGGTGAGCGTGGCGTATGTTGTGTACCTGTCCCGATGTAGAGCACGTGGTAGTCCCCGTCCTGGGCCTGAACCCGGTCCACAGCGATCTGGGTGAGTTTCCTGTGCCCCGGCTCTGTCTGCAGCAGCACGGGCCGCTTGTGCTGGGGCAGGACGGGCTTGAACATGACGGGGTGAGAGCGCACGAAACGCAACACCTCATCAGGGAACTCCTTAGAGCTGGAGAAGCCCCCGCCGGTCATCTTACTGGCACACTGAAACACAGGAGGGACACGGATTTACACAATTAATATTCATTTATTTATTGTGTCAGTCAATTGGAAAAATCAACATGATTCAACTACAAAGAGATGTGTCCATTATCAATCCATTTATGCTATTCAAAATAAAAAGTATGGATGTAGACATAGATAGTCAGATATAATGATTCTGTAACAATTATGCATTGGTTTTATCAAGCGCTTTTAAAAAGGACACTCAATGCATTTACTCCGTAATAAACTACTCCTGTAGCCACAGCTGCCCTGGAGCAGAAGTGCATCAACAGTGCTGCAGTTTTTTAACCTATGGCTTTCATTTTTATTGAATTGCAATGTATTGTATCACAATGTTTGGAAAAAAAATCCTATCGAATTTAACATCCCCTGCATCTAGTTAAGTATTGTATCAGCAATTTCTGAAAAATACCAGCCCTATTTTTTACATATGTACCCCATCCATCCATCCATTTTCTACCCTTTAATCCATTTCTGGGTCAGGGGGGTGGCAGTCAGAGATGCCACCCAAGTCTCATAGCACCAGCCCCTCACTGACCCTCTGCAGGTGGTGAGTCCACAGGAGGACGGCTGCTCTCTGACTGTGAGCATAGCCTTATATGTGTACATATGTACCCCTCAAATGATTATTTCCTTCTCTATGGACATACTGTACAGGACTAGCAATTGCTGCAGATTCTACCATTATTGATTTCATACATGAACTTGGCTGAGTTGTTGAGTTTACTGATGCCTTAGACCAGATAAAGACCAGATGAACAGTGGGTTACTATGTGAATCAAAGGATGCATGTTTAATACATCTAAATATATAATATATATGAATAAATTCATATATATAGAAATTATGAAAACATATTCATAATTTCTGCTCAAATTAACCCCTAAAAATTGTCTTGAGATCATGCTTATTCGCAAGTGCAGTTGAGAAGGATTTTGCACAATGTCAATCCTTTGAACTTTTGATTTGAGCTGATCTATGTTCATCTAAGAACCCCTCACTACATCGTGTGGTGATGGTGCTCAGGCGTGGTGAGTGACGGGTGCGTGCGGGCGTACCGATCCGGGCCGGGGGTAGGGGATTCTCTCCTCGTACAGGCTCCAGCGGTGCTCTGGCCGCTCCCTGAAGGCGAAGGGCCCGTTGAAGGCTGCTCGCACGTCCTCCATGGAGTAGATGCACACGGCGTAGCCTTTGAACACAGCACTGGAGAAAAACAATGTGTTATTCAGTGTTGGACTGAGGTAAAGACAGGAACAATCAACAACTGGGGGCGTCAGTGGCTCAGTTGGTAGAGCATTGGCCTTTGAGCCTGAAGGTCGTGACATGCTCTATCTACTTCCTTGTCTGCTGTCGTTGTGTCCTTGGACAAGACACTTTACCCCACTCTGCCTAAGGTCCTAGCTTAAAGATGAAGGACTATTGTATTGTCAGGAGGATCAGTGAGGGAAGGTGCACTGTGAGTTGGGTTGCAGCAAATTTGCCCCCCTTCCCACCCAGAAATGGACAAAGGGGAAGAAAATGGATGGATGAATGGACAATTGACATGATTGTTTCTCTAGACCAGGCATGTCAAAGTCAAATACATCAGAGGGCCAAAAAAACAAATTTGCTGCGAGCCGAGGGCAGGACTGGTTCAGTGTTTATTAACTCATTGCCTGCCAGCCTATTTCAGAATAGGCGCTCCCATATTGCCAGCAGTTTCTGATGATTTTTATAGATTTTTGTTTTCAAACCATCCAGAGAGCGCTGGTGCCACCTGCTGGCTCGAGGAAAGATGCTCTCAAGCTAATCCCCATACATATTAGATATAATAGACATCTGGGAACATAAAAATAGCGGAACACGATCAAATATCATCACAGGGGCCATGTATTTGTATTTGGCCCGCGGGCCTTGACTTTGACACATGTGCTCTAGATCATCCTAATATCATTCCAGTTTGACCATATTTCTATATCTGTAATTCCCCAATGCAACAGAAACAATTTAAACACATTTCGGGAGATGGGGATGGTCTGCAATGGTGGCAATGATCTGCACCAAAATAAAGGCTTTACTCCAAACATGCTTAATTACAACACTGCTCTGGTTCTGGAAGACTTATACCTGGTGGTGCTGAAGAGGCCGAAGATCTCTGGGTTTTTCTCATCTTTGTTCTGCAGCACAAACACGTCCTCTGGAAATGAAAGAGAAATTCTTTAAAAATTTAATGGCACACTATGTGTGGCAAAATAAACCACAACCTGAAATTTGTGGAATTTCCCAAATCTTAGAAATAATGAAATGTTTGCGAAACCCTCTCGTCTACTCTCCATATAATTTGACAGAGCTTGAGTTGTTTATTAAAGATGAATGGGACATACTTCCAGTCTCCATGTGCCTGGCTTGAAGAATCCACAAAGCATTAACTTTTTTTTCACTTTGGTGGGGTCTTTCAAATTATGCTTTTTGACCAAATATACAAAAGTTCAAGTTGTATTAGTACTTCAACCCACTCATGTAAAATAGAATTATGTCAGCCGAATGAAGGAAAAACGGAAAATGATTTGATTGTGATTAGTTGTACAATCCTCATCAAAGGTCCTCTACAAATGTGCTGTCAATGTTTTAGTAAAAGGTTTTAGCTAAATATCTCTTAGTTCATCTCCCTTAGTTTTAGCACAGATACATCTCTGTGACAATGAGACACAGCTCATACCGAGTTCGTCAAAGTGCGTGTCGATGCCGTTGGGGCCAGACACGGAGCAGATCAGACGGGTTTTGAGGAAGGAGCTCCAGCGGTTCACCAGCATCCTCTGCCCTCCCTGGTCATTCTGAGAAAAAAAAAAACCAAAACTCAACATTCTCATAGGTCTGTTGAGACAGTCTAAATACAGGTTGTGAAATTTCAGTTCAAGACGCAAACTGTTGTTGTGTCCTTAGGCAAGACACCCACATTTTCTTGTTACTCGGCAATTTTCCGTGAAGTGTCTTGTCTAAGGCCACACTCATACTGTACTTGGTCCTAGTATGAGTGAAAGAATAATAACGTGCGTAGTGTCTTTGAGTGTCATAAAAAGTTGTATGGTGGCATTACTTATGATTCCATGTAGCTTCAGCCTACAATGTATCACAAACCGTTTCAAAGTGTGAAATATATAGTGTATATGCAACTGCGTCCAATGTAATGTTCAATATATGTATTTTATATGGGGAAACAGTAGCTTAGTTGGGAGAGCATTGGACTTTGGGTCTAATCGTCATGGGTTCAATCCCTCCTCAAGACCGACACCATGTACTCCCACTGAAGTCTGCTGTAGTTGTGTGTCCCGGGGTAATTAATTCCACTTTGCCTGAAGCCCCCTGAACTCCCCGACCCAGAAACTGATTATTAAAGGGGATGTTAATGAATGAATTCATGAATATTTCCAGTAGTATGCTGTTCTTTACAAATGTGTGTGTTTATTTAGATCACACATTTTTCCCTGAGAATGATTTCACATTCTTTGGCGATTTACTAAAACGTAAATCGGCAAAGTTAGCGTTGTGTTCTTGTGTTGTCGTAGCGTGTGTGTCCTCACCGCACAGACCCGGCCAACGCGGGTGTAGACGGCGCGCTGCTCTCCCTCGGGGTCCAGCTCTCTCTCGGTAAAGAAGAAGTACACTTTGTCATCGTCTGGGTCGTCGTTGTCCGGGACGACCACAGAGCCCACCCACTTCGGCTCTGCGGGGGGTAGGAGCACACCAGGACCGTGAGCCGGAAGCACTGGTCAGTCTGTCCACTCACATGTCATTGATAGCCATAGATTTTTAGACGTTTGATATATTGGGTGATTACGACTAAATTTAAAGATATAAATTGATCTTAAATATTTCAACCTATGAATTACAAACATGACTAAAACAAATAAACCATTAGGTCAACTACTTATTAATATACTCTTTAAACAGTAATAAACAGTGATATTTTTGCCTTTTTTCCCCAATATGGTCCTGTTTTTCTGACCAGTATTGAAATTGTTGAGCTGCAACAGTGGGAAATGTTGCCATGTTGTTTGGACCCGTATTGCTTTTCACCACTGGAAAGAAAATAACAAACTTTGAAAATAGGTATTCTAAAGTCCAACCCCAGGGAATCACATTATAACGGATTACGGCAAGTTTATCATCCACATGGAGCAATAGCAACATTTGCAGACATATTTCTACAAGGACAACTTTATAAAGGAAAAAGCAGCGTTTGTAAAATCCTGAACTTCACTCTTGTTACACGGCCGACTACTCTGTCATTGTGCAAAGTATTGTCGCTTGCGTGACTTGTGTGTAGTTCTACAACCTTTACCTGACCCACATCGACGACTTATAACACACTGCAGGTTTTATAGTCCGTTGACGAGGTCGCAACATGGTTTAAAGGCTGAATCATTTTGACATGTCAACCTGTTTTGCTCAACGTGTGAAGAACAGGTGACACAGGATTTTGGTTGAAATTCCTGTTTTTTGAGCAGAGGGCATGAGAATCCAAAAAGTCTTAGCAAGAGAAAGCAGGGCGTGAAAATTAACGCATCAAGATCAGTTTTATACTTTGATTTTTTATCTCCTTATGTGATTTTGATTGTCACTCTCTTGTATAGCACTTTGAAATTGAATTTGTATAGTTGAACGAGGCAACTCATTTTCATTTAATTCAATTCAGCCCTAAATCACAACAGCAGTCTTCTCGGAGGACTTTACGAAGTTGTCTTTTCACCAACAACAGATCAGAGAATATGACAGTTCAAACCCAGGAAATTTAATGATAACCAACACATTGGTCCATAGAGAGTGGGATGGACCAATGTGTAGTAATGTTAATAAATATCCATAAATGCCCTGGATTATAGCTCCATGCTACATTACTCAGATAGGTAGGTATTTACTTTACTTTATTTATTCTTTGTATAGGTAGAAATCAACAATGGCAAGTATATTTCCAGTTAAACCATGTATGAGAAGGAGTAGAAAGAAGCTGAATATTACTTTCTGCACATAAACTTGCCTTGCCTTACTTCAAACTCAACTCAACAGGAATTATTGTACATACACCCTGTCTTGACTTTCCTCACTTCATTACCAGCTCTAAAATCTGTGAAAGGTGCCTCAGCTGAACCCAAGAGCACATAATTTACAGCCCAGGATTCTGCCTTTATGACTTCAGAAGTTTTTTTTCTTCTTTTGATCATCCATTTTAACTTGGCCAAAGGCAGTGAGAAACAGGAGGACACACATTGGTCCCAAGGCTGTATGTTTGTGTGTTGTGTGTGTGTGTTTGTGTCATGTGTGTACCGTTGAGCTGCTGCCGGTCGTCCCGTTCCGTGCGGGTGTACGTCTGGTTGTTGAGTCGGCACAGGGCTCCATCGTTCTCCCAGTAGTCTGTGTAGAGTCCGATGTACAGCTCTCCCTCTGCACAAGCAAACAGCATGAGACCCAAAAACAACAAGAAGTCCCAAAAAGACAATATATTTATGAGAATTAAGCCATTTATTTTGTGGTCAAATTAGTTCCAAAAGTGACTTGCAATGATAATTATCTGAAGCCATATGATTAATACAAATTCATCACAGACAGCTAAACCCACTATATGACCACTAGATGGCAGCAGTGACTGGGTGAAGACAGAGGAACTGCAGCGCTGACATTTACACATTTATTTATGCATTGTGAAACTCATTCTAAGTAAAGGTAGTAGTAATAGACTGATAAACTTTTCATTATGGACACACGCTATTTTTCATAATTTTGAGTAAAAATATGGATACTATGTCCAAATCTAATCTTATTTAAATGATGATAATGAGAATAATCACACAAAAATGAATAAATAAACTAAACTCTTGTGCGTATTGAAATAATTATCTGAAGTAGGAGTATAAAAGTACAAGCATGAATGTATTTAAGTAAAAAGTAAAACGCATTTTTGTTGAATATTTGACGAACATCATATTTAAGCTTTGCATGTTAAGCAATATATTTATGTGTAGCTCTAAATCACAACAGAAAATGTCTTGAAGGACTTTACAAAGTTTTCGATTCTCCAATCAAACAGGTCAAACACAGAGGAGTTATTTGTCTTTTAGGGGCAAAGGACCAACGTTCATAAATGTTAATAATACACGTCCGTAAATGTTCTGGATCATCACCATTGTCCTAGACCCTCCTGCATCGACAAGGAACAACTCAACAACCCAGTGGGATTTAGTGAGAAACCTCGGGGGGATACAAGACTCAGGACGAGTTCATTTAAAAGCATGGATTGTGATTTCAAATATTGATACCAGACACAAATAAGGCTATGAAGTGCATGTGTATACAAACCCCACCTGCCAAATTTGAAGAGAAAGTACGTTTTGTCACACTGAATAACAGCAACAGGTTTGATGTTGTAATTTAACACTTAACTAACAGCTGATGGATGAAAACAATGACAAGAGACGACGGGACACAACGGGATTTAATTCACGTTTTTGAGGCACTATGGATCGAAACACTCCAGTAGATTTAGTATTTTGGCCATGAGATTCTTATTAAAACATTATGGAGTAAAAATAACACGTCCAAAAACGATATTCCTAATCACATAAAAACAATAATCCTTGCACTTTTTGTGAAATAACTCTGAAGTTAAACACCGGGAAGCAGTGTAGAGTTATGTCCAAATCCAATTATCCTCTGAGGGTACATTAACAACATGAAAATGCATATATTACATTAGCTGAATCTCTATATAAGAAGAAGAACTTGAAAAAAGGAAAGTTCTCAAGTAATTTACACAATGTTTACACAAACATTGTGTAAATGTTTGTGTCATTTACACAAACATGTAAATGACGCACCCCATTTTGTAATACAAAAATGATTACAATTTGATTATTCAAGTCAAATAATGAACACAAATATTTGTTTGTACAAACAAAATATTATTAATTTAACATACAATAATTATAAAAAACATATTTATATATATATATATGTATATTTTTTCTCTTTTCTCTCAGCCCCCCTGCAATACCCTCACTTTGGGAGACACTGTGCTATACAGTATCAATGGTCTCATGTGCTTTGCTTGAATCCTCCCATTATTACATACATCTGCTGCATGAGAACAATGCCTTAAGTGTTTCACTCTTGGATTCAGCTTGTGCAGCAACCCTCCTCCTCCCATTACCGTCATTTAAGCTGCAACCACCACCACTTCTTTCATAATTTCCATTTCCCTCCTGCAGACGTCATGCAAGCGCCGCAACCACATCAACATGTCATGTAGCACACGTCAACAACCATCCGTGTATTTCACTCTCTAGTCTTTCCAAAATAACTTTTCAGACATTTAACAAATCAATATTTCCAGATTGTATCCAAACTAACAGAAATGTATCCCTATTTCGAGAACAATAGACCTTTACAGCCCCTTTTTTCAGGCCTATTCATAAATGTGAAGACGTGATCTCTTTGATGACAGAAATAGCCAGCACTGAACGCAAATAGAATTACTGTGTCTTGCTGATCAAAAACGATCTTTACAGACAAAAATTGTCTGTATCATCCAATTATAACCCATTCTGCAGGGCTCCAAAACAGTTTACACCGTAAAAATGTCAATTTAATCATGTTTTTTAATATGTTGGAGAATATTAATCTAAGCAAAAGTTGTACCAAACACCATTTGAACATCAGATTTTTCTCAATATAAAATCATGTATAATTGTATACAGTGTTGATGAACTTTTGCCACATCTGCCTGGATCTGACAGAAGCGAATCTAATCCGAGCCATCGACCCCTCTGACCAGCACCACTCACTCGTTCACACACCAGACACATGCTGGACAATGTGGGTGAAGTGTCTTGCTGAAAAACACTAAAACAGTATCACTTTATAGATGCAGGAGCCGACTTTCACAAGCAGGTAGTGCAGGTAGGGCTAAACTCCACAAAAGATGACTTTGATTATTTCTCCACCTACTCCGATCCAAACTTGCAAATTTATGTAAGAGGGCCACTTTAGTTCACCAGACTAGGGGCCCACACACCAGATTGTAAAACTGTTCATATTGATTCATGTTTGACAGAGCTGAAGTTGGCTGAATGACAGATGTTGTTATCTCACGGGCTGCATGGGCGCCAAAGACAGAATTTTGTGACCCAATCAAAAATGAAAGTCGGTATTGTTACGGGCTAGGCCCTTATGGGGGTCCTGGGACTTGCCCATTTCTCCGTCCTGCCACTCCTCTCTCTTGTTTGCAGAGGGGGACCAGTTGGCGCTGCAGCAGTGGGCGTGTTTGCGCACCCAATCAGCGCACGCGCATATAATCTGGAGGAAAGGTGCACGCGCTCTCTCTGCGCGCTCCTGGAGGCCATTCTATACCTGCCCTGGTGCCGGTTGCAGCTCCTCCCTGGCTCTCCCTCAACAATGCACTATTAAGTTGTCTGGTTTATGCACCCACATTCATTTCGCACAAACGGCGTCTTCACTGCACAACAAGCATTACCTGCACCTACACCACTGACTTCCACATAACACACCTTTTCTATACATATTAAAATCTGTTCTTCCGTTTTCCAATTAAATATACTTTTGAGCACTTTAATTCTGCCTCATCTCCCCTATTCTTGTTGTGGCTCAGAGCCAAGCCATGACAGTATATGCAAAAAAAGTCAACCACTGTACTCTTGAATATGGAAGCCTTGAAGACAGCCTCTGCTAAACCAGGGACTAAATAATGGAAGTGGATGTTCCTTTTCAGATTTAGTTTGGGTTAGGATTAAAGAACCAAGCACTTTTTCATTGAAGACAATCACACGGCAAATCACAAGCTGAAACTGACACAAAAATGAAACCAATGCAAAGTCATTCTAATCAAAGAGTATTAGTATTAGTAATAAAAAATCAGAGCGAGGTTAACACGCACATCCAAACCTGAGTAACGGGCAAAAAGTCAAAAATAGATGGAAAAAATTTAGATGACTCTGCACAACTTGACCTCTTGAGGAATTATTTTATTTGCATCACAAGATGGATGTGTGGTGCAAATAAATTGTGGATTACAAATTTGTGTTTTTTTAGATCCTTAACTTTTCTAATCCTTTGGATAGAAGTATTTTTGTGAAAAGTCCTGCAGTGGAGCATTACGTTCCCAGTGTGAGGGGTCTATACTTACTGGACAGTGTGGAGGTAGAAGGGCTGCTGGGGTCATAGGGACAGCGACCTTTCCCACTGCTCACACTCCCCTCATCGAGCACAAACACGCGGTCCTGAAGAGAAGAAAGAAAATCCATGACTTCAGCCAGTTTTATTCAAAGTGCATTCCAAAATTGTATATGCAAACAAATATGAAGCTAGCCTTGAGAAGTCTTTTTTAGCGCATTAGCTGCTTCTTCCAGCTGAGATTTGGATTCATGAGAAGCCTGTTACCGCAATCTCTTTAACAGACAAATTCTTCCTCAAACCTTAACCTTTTTAACAGGATCCAGAGCCGCACATAACACAGTGTAAGAAGATGGACAGGAGGTGATGGATGATCTCCTCAGGCTCCTCACTGAAGAGCAGGCCCATGTCATTTCACTTCAGCTCAATGGGGAGAATCCATAATACCAAAGTAAGCAAAAGTCACCACGGAGCAGCGATTGTGCCTCCGGAGTCGGGACTGACAAGGCTGATCATAGAAAGACTTATGGCTATAGCTCCAGAGACTGTGACAAAAAAGATAAGTCTGGCCCAGCTGGCAGAGTTACGGAGCCCGCACTGGTGGGACTTCCCAAAGGGGCCATTGCTAAACTCCCAGACACTAGCGATATCTATATGCAAAATATCCAGGTCAAGAGAGACTTTGACTTGTTGCATGAAGCCAAATTCCTGCCTCTTTTTTTTCTAAGCTGGAGCTGCACTCACAGCCACAGGCCTTTGCCCGTCCCTGCTACTATAAACATGTTGAATTTTGACCCTGCACCAGCACAGAAACAGATAAAGGCCTGTCCAAGAATTCGGAAAATTGTAATCACAAGTTTTGTATATCATGATTATTGACTTTTTATTATAGAAAGATATTTGAATGATTAGTTAGGATGACAGCTTGTTTTACCTCTCCTTGCTGATGTATCCTCATTTCATTGATTTCATTGGGATTGGCTCAAGTGTATTGAGTTCTGTCATTAATATGTTTCTATCATAAAATTATGGGAGGAAGAATCTAGCTCAGTATTATCATCTAAAGACTACAACAATGGAACCCCCAATGAAAAGAGGTAGTTGTAATCAATGCAATTTGACGGATAAATGGTCATTAAGTTGGATATCTAAAAGATTCAAAAAGATTTTGAAATAGGATATGATAAGAGATGTTTTATTCGACCCACAATGGGGAAATTTCAATGTTGCAGCGCACATACAGGACAGTAGTAAGAGTACACAGGGAGCACACAAAATATACAATATAAGTAGCCGCTATGTTTCTTAGCTATCTATAAATGCTTCAAAATCAATCTTTCGAAGAATCTCTATATAAAGTGCAAGGTTATACACATACAAGGCAGGATAAGATGATCAAGTGACATTTAGTGGACATTCTGAAATTGCAGTATTCTAGATTTCACATGATTTCTGTATTAACTTATTTACAGATGAATGACATGTTCAGGCTCTTTTAGTAAGTGAACGATTCCCTCCTGCAGACGCCATGCAAGTGCTGCAATCTAGTCTTTCAAAAACAACATTTTCAGACGTTTAACAAATCAACATTTCCAAATTTTATGTACCAAAAGAATTCCTAAAACCTTCCTCATCTCTCTCACTTCCCATTTCTTCGGAAAGAGTCAACACCCAAATAAATACCGTTTGGGTGTTATTCCTGAGTATAGCTGCATTTTCTAATCACACACTTGTGAAAGCCATGTCCCTACAGGCCCAGGTCTGTTATAGATTAGAGGTGAAAAATTCTTCCTCTACTTTTCCACCTTGCGTTTATGTTAAGCGACGGGAGGAGATCAGCGCGGCAGGCAAATCAGGGAAACAAGATTCATGGCTGCAGCCGCGGAGCCGTGCTGTGCCGTACCTACGCTTTGCAATATGGCCCCCATCCATCACGCCCTGATCAGCCCCGAACAAGCTGAAGTCTGCCTGGCCTTCTGTGTGCTGCGCTGGGTAAATATTTGATGGTATGACCTGGGTGATGAATGGGGTGGTGCGCACATTTCTTTGGCCAATATAAAAGTAGATGCTGGCTCAGGATTAATGGTAGTTCCTGTGGGGACTGGGGGCCCGCGGGGAGAGAAGCTTGTTTACATTGAACGCGGCATTTCACAAACTTTGCAGCAGAGTTATATTTCAGAATGGTGAATGGGCTGGGTCGGGGTCGCTCATTTAGCATCCAAGTGGCAAGGCCCTGTGGAAACTACCCCAAAACTTTTTTCGGGATGATTTGATTCCTGCTGAATATATTTGAATAGACACTGTACACATCTATTGTTTGACAACCCTATTATTATTATTATTATTTTTTTTTGTAACTTGAAACAACAAAGTTAATAAGTTATGTTATACAATCCAAAGTTATAAAACAGTCTCATCAGCTGGGTTTAGATTCAGAGCTTAACAGTTAAGAATGACATGAACATATGAACAATTCACTTGGAGTTGAAGTTGGCTAAATGATGATTGCTTATTTTCTCATTATTTCTCAATGACTGTGTGGATTTTAATATAACAAGTGGCTTCTACAGATAATGAGATTTAAAACTAAGTATAACATATCTGTTTTGGCAGAGTTGAAGTTCAACAACAACAATGTGGAATTGTGCTATATAAATAAACTTCCCTTGCCTTGCCTTGCCTTGAAATACGATTTTATTCAACTTTCAACTTAAAAAAAGTGTATTGTGGCAATAACAATAATCAGAATTGTTGTTATTGACATTGTAAGTAACTGGAAGTCACAAACTAGGAATAAGCGTTGGCTCTTGGTGCAAACATGTTTTATAGAGGCATGAAAACAATCTTTAACATTTATATACTCTATATACAAGTGCACACCATGGACCTTTGCATGTTCTAGAATTCTTATATTTAATATATTCTTTTTTCTCTTGTGCATGAGAAGCACTTTGGGCAGGTGGCATAGTTGTTAATGTGCTATACAATTAAATCTGACATCTACATTGTTTGAGGATTCAGTGCTTAGAAGATCTGTCTTTAGCCCTGTTTTTTTAATCAACCAGATTTGTGACCTTTTGTGTACAAAACTAAATAAACAGCTATAAACACTAAATCCACCAAAAGCACAATATGTCTCCTTTAATGTCATCACACAAATTGACGCCACATTTCCGGCGTGTGTGCGGCGTGTGTTGGGGGTTTGTGTGACTGATGCGAACCTTTTCTGGAATCTCCATCAGACCCATCTGTCTAGACCTGAACACATGCCAGTAATCCAGACACACCATAAAAAAAAACTGGCCACACAAAAGATAAAAGTGAGGTCCTGGATCTATCCAAATGTGTGAGGTTTCGTAGCAGCAGTAGCAGCAGTTGTAGTATTTGCAGTAATCGATGTAGTAGAATTAATGTATGAGTTTCTAGTGCATAGTAACTGGGGTGAGAAGCCAAAATCACAATGGAGGACCTTAGAGTAGAGACCTGCATCCTGTGAAAGAAATATTTTGTCCAGTTGCCAATGGGATTGTGTAAAAGGTGGGTCTTATAGAATGTGTAATTTCACGGCTCAAGTGAAGATGTTCAAACAAAATTCAACCACGAAGAATGATTTTGATTCAGTTTTCTCTGCGTGTCTTCTCCTGTTTTTCCTTTGATTCCCTGTTTTTTCTCTATTCTTTCTTGTCTCCCTGTTAAACGTGGTGAGATTAAAGGCCCTGCTGCCTCTACTCAGACCATCAATTTAGCGATCAGCAGGTTTTTTTCCCCCCTCCTTTTGAGCAGAAGTGCAGTCATCATGAATGTTGCAACTCTCTTTTCTTCAGGGTAATTAGTTTATAACTCACCTTTTGCATTATTGATTGCAGATACAGTAGGTAATGATAATAATAGTAATAATAATAATGTATGGGAATTATTGTATGAGTTTGTGCTGCAGAGAATATCTGGGGGGAGGATCCAAATCACAATGGAGGAGCTTAGAGTAGAGACACTGTTCCAGTTGAGGTGGCTCATGTATCTGCTCTGCATCCTGGCCCCAAATAATGAGGTAGACAATGAATGGAGGCATGATTTCACTGAGCTAGTAAAGATTTTAAATACCCAGAGAAAAGTTAAACGTGTTCTAATTAAATGCATTTTTTCTGATGATAATGCATTTATTGTATTCACCTATTTGCTTTATATAACAAGAAACCTCCAACTAAGATGTCAGAATATTTTGATGGGAGTCCTGGTTAATTTTTTTCATTGGTAAGGAAAACCGGAACAAAACTCCACCCAGAACCTTCTTCTTGCTCTCAAACACAATTAATTTAAATTATAGGCCTTTACCAAATGGTTGAGATGCAGTTTGATGGTCAAAGTGCTTAAAACCAAGTGAGATGCCCCAAAAAAATAGATTTCAGTTCTCGAAGTAGTAGAAAGAAGATATAGTGACTCAAAACATGATCTACCAAATGAAACCATTAAAGGGTTGTTTCAGTCTTAACAGCAGAAACATTTGAAAACGGTTGTGGGGAAAAAAGCTATCATTCTATTGTCTGAGAGTTGAAATGAGAGGGAGGAAGCAGGAAGGGAAATGTTTGATTTGTCAGCAATGCACCCCTTCAAACGGGCAATCCCTAACCCCAGGCCTGGTCTCTGGTGCAGGCTCTGCAGCGGCTGGACACTCTGATGCTTTCTCAACTGGCCTTCCCCCCGCCCACTTCTCTTCCTCTTCCTCTTTCTTCTTTCGTCTTATACTCTCACATGAATAACATCACTTGCTCTGCCGATTTTCTCTTCTCTCACTCCTTAGACCACAGCAAGGCTTGTCCACAATTTGGTAGGTCTTTGGTCTCCCCAACAAAGCCCTCGGAGCTCCTCTGAAACTGCAGCCTGCATCATTACCAGGAGACCCACAATTCACCACATCAGCGCACCTCTCCAACAGTCCCCATCATACCAAGAGTCCATGTCTCCATAATACTGTACCTGTCCGACCTCATCCACAACGCTGTCCTTTCTACTCCTCCTCTCTCCAGCTCTCTGTCCTCTCGCTTCCTCCCCTCTCCAGCTTTCTCTCCTTCTCCTCTCTCCAGCTCTGTCCTCTCTCCCCGGCTCTCTTGCTCTTTGTCCGCTCTCTTCCTCCTCTCCCCCCCTCTCTCTGCAGCTCTGTCCTCTCTCCCAGTCTCTCTTGGTCCGCTCTTTTCCTCCTCTCTCCCCCTCTCTCTCCTTCTCCTCCCTCCAGCTCTGTCCTCTCTCCCCATCTCTCTTGCTCTTTGTCCGCTCCCTTTCTCCTCTCTCCCCCTCTCTCCAGCTCTGTCCTCTCTCTTCCTCCCCTCTCCAGCTCTGTCCTATCTCCTCCTTTCTCTAGCTCTCTGTCCCATCTCCTCCTCTCACCAGCTCTGTCCTCTCTCCTCCTCTCTCTAGCTCTCTGTCCCATCTCCTCCTCTTACTGTACCAACTCTGTCCTCTCTCCTCCTCTCTAGCTGTCCTCTCTCCTGCATCTTGCTGTCCTCTTCCTCTCTCCAGCTCTGTCCTCTCTCCTTCTTTCTCCTCCTCTCTCTAGCTCTCTGTCCCATCTCCTCCTCTTACTGTACCAACTCTGTCCTCTCTCCTCCTCTCTCTAGCTCTCTGTCCCATCTCCTCCTCTCACCAACTCGGTCCTCTCTCCTCCTCTCTAGCTGTCCTCTCTCCTCTTTCTTTCTGTCCTCTTCCTCTCTCCAGCTCTTTTCTCTCCTCCTTTCTCTTCCTCTCTCCAGCTTTGTCCTCTCTCCTCCTCTGTCTCACTCTCTGTTCCCTCTCCTCTTCCTCCCTCCACCTAATGGCTTTGTCCCATTGGCAAATCTTGTAGTCAGAATGTACTCAAATTAAAACAAAAACCACTCAATTCAAGCAATTATTACCTCATATTTTATCATTTTTTGCAGTGTCCTGGTGCAGGTAAAACACTGAGAGCGTGCCTTTCACTGCTGCGTCTTCCCTCTAGTCAAATCACAGCATTTCAAACTCCACCCAAGCTTTCAGTGACTTAAGGCTTCCATCAAATAAAAACTACAGATGCATGTGCCAACAATAAATTGAATAGCGTTGATGTCAATGTATTTTATATTTCTCAAATGTTTGGCTAAAACATCTTTGCAGCCATGTGGAGCGGCTGGCACTCGCACAGGGCGGTGTAGCCAAACACTGCAGTGGAGTGTGCATCAAATATTGTTACTATGGCGACTGTGAAAGAAATATTTTGTCCAGTTGCCATTGGGTTTGTGTGAAAGGAGGGTCTGTAGAATGTGTAATTTCACGGCTCAAGTGAAGATGTTCAAACACAAATTCAACCACAAAGAATGATTTGGATTCGGTTTTTTTGTGCGCGTCTTCTCCTGTTTTCCCTTTGATTCTAGTCTCTATTATTTTTTGTCTCCCTTTTTGAACGTGGTGAGATTAAAGGCAGCCTCTACTCAGACCATCAATTTAGCCATGAGCAGTTTTGCAATCCTCCTTTTGAGCAGAAGTGCAATATAATGAATGTTGCTACTATCTTTTTTTTCTAGAAAATTAGTTTATAACTCACCTTTTGCATCTGATTTATTTTTTCCAGAGTGACAGATATTGTAATAATAATAATAGTACCAAAAATAATGCATTGAGCGGTTTCCAGGACACTCAAAGAAGCTTCACATGAAATTATCTTCCCTCCAAACACGGTGGTGATGAACTACAAATGTTGCCATAGCTGCCCTGGGGCACACTGACAGAAGCAAGGCAACAAGTATGAGTTTTCATCCCCTCTGACCACCACCATCCCATACACACCATACTCATTCTAGCCAATGTGGGTGAAGTGTCTTGCCTAAGGACACTGGTGGCACCTGGTGTTCCTAGAGGTCTCCCATCACAGTAATAACCAGGCCCTACCCTCTTTAGTTTCAGAAGTCTGACGAGGTCTGGCTTTCACATGCATTTATGGCCTCAATAGGAAAACTTGAACAATTTCACACCATATTATGAAATCTTTATCTAAAAAAAACAGTCTTAATCTAAATAGAAATAGAAATGGATTTAGAATAGTCTTTAAAAACATACTTCATCCAGTTGTAAAAAAGATTGTTTCAAATACTGAGAGCTGATTGGCTGAGTGAGGGCTGGTCCTCTCTCTTTCACTGAAAAACCTGATTTAAAGTGTTGACAGAAACCAGAAATGCCTTCATGCATATGGAAACTAGAAGCAACTCAAAAAAGAACAGGGCATTAGTTCACCTGCCTTCGTGATAGAACCAAACACTTGCTTGGAGAGAGCTTGGATTTCATTACATAGATCCTAAGTTTCAAAGTGAAAAGTTAGGTACTCCAGCTTCAAAAAACACATTCCATGCGGCCACTCTGCCTAGGTCTACACTTCACTTCATACTAGTATAAATTGGGCTTTCGCTCGTCTATCTTCAAACAACACAAAAACAACTGGCCCTGAACCTTTAATCCTATAAGACCGTTGTTTGCACACTTTGTAGATCTCAGGAGTGGTTTTTGAAGAGATTACTTTACTCTGCTGTAGAGAGGGGTCCCATCACATGGTTAGTTGTACCGTATGTGCTGCTTGGAATCTCATAATGCTCAGATGAAGGGAAAAGGCCATTGGATTTATGGACACTAGACTTAGCTGACTCTGATTATATTGAATTCTTGAATATTGTGAGCTGCTGCTTAAAGAAGACTTCTGTAACATTAACATCATCTTCAAAGTAAGCGGCAATAATTATCTAAAACAACTCAGCAGGGCCATTGAGTTTTTTATGGTTGCAGCTTTAAGCCATTTTTTTACAGAGCACACCCACCTCTATCACTTCAATCAATTTGACAGAAATCCCATTTGAACAGGCCCCAAAAGACCTCTCCTTTTAATACATTTGATATAATTCTTGCAAATATTTCCATTTTGGACTGTAATTTTCTCTTTTCTCTAAAATATATAAGGGTGATATAATCTGATTAGTTTTACAAGAATGTAGGCAAGTCCTCACCTGTCCAGTGTCTCCCACTCTGACCAGTGCACAGAGCGGGTTGAAGGCCCCGGTCCCACACAGCAGCAGGTGGCTCTGGTTGTACGGCTGCAGCACCTGCATGTAGTTTGCACACTCTGGCTGCAATAACACAGACATGGTTAGTATCATGTTTCTTTAAACTGGTTATTATTGTAATTTTTATAAGCATTCTTATTGACATTATTAATATTATAATTATTACTTGGTCATGCTACTGTACTTTTCATATTCAATCTAAATACTAAACTCTACTAAATATATATGTATGTTTATAAAAGGTCAATATGAGCTATTATCTGGGGACACATAAAAGATTTGTATTCATTCATTCATTTTCAACCCCTTTATTAGTCCATTTCAGGGTCGGGGGAGTGGCAATGAGAGCTGCCACCCAATGCTCAAAGCACTGGTCCCTCGCTGATCCTCTGCAGGTGGTGAGTCCACAGGAAGATGGCTGCTACATCAGTGGTGCCACAGCCCTGGGTGTTTCAGCGGAAGCCTCAGGCAATGTGGGGTTAAAGTGGTTCTCACCCCCGCTCCTCGGAGCTTACGTTACTCACATTTCCTGTTCAAATCTTCCTCTAAATGGGCGTAGCCTGGAGGACTAAAGGGGGCGTGAACGAGACTGGGCCGTTTACATTGCTCTGGGCGGGGGGCTGCTGACGTCAGGTCCAACTTGCAGACGTCAGGTCCAACTTCTGTGCCAGTGTTGGCGCCAGATTCAAAATTCAAATGTAGTAATACAGGTCGCCAGCAGATGGCGCCTCACAGACGGTTTTAGGCAGAAAGTCTAACTTTCAACTAATTTGCACCAAAGTGACAAGATTATGACCAGGATATGTAGACAACACTATTGGACACTCATTTATACCGTTTATCAGCAAAAAAAAAGTGGATTTGAGGGTGAGTTGTCCTTTAAGTGTCTTTCCCAAGGACACAATGACAGCGGAGATAAGTGGGAGCAGTTGGAGTAGGTCCCATGATAGGCTCGAACCAAAGGCCAATGCTCTACCATCTGAGCTACTGTGGATATGAATTAAAATATTGCATACTGTCCCTTTAAATCTCAGCTAAAAACAAATGTATCTGCAAGTATCATATAGTGCCTCAGTTAAATATTAGAATCTCCTGAAAACATATAGAAAATCCAAATTCTAGGGTTTATTGCTTTCCTTTGACACAAAACTAAGCCAAAACATATATTTCCACACAAAACTGAACTTGGCAAAAAGTATTGGCACCCTCAACTGCTGCACTTCTGTGAAGAATTGTATTTTCGTCATTAAAATGCTTTTGGGTATGACTGTACGTGGACTTACTTTCTCTCTCCCCTTCATCAGACAGTTCTCGATCTGGGACTCTGTACTCGCCCACTGGACCTATAAACAACAAACACCACATTGTCAAAAAAACCACTTCCAATTAGCAGCGTCTACGGTTCCGTCTTTCACACTCCACGCCAAAAGCTCTCGACATTCTCATGGCCTCTCATCATTCCAACATGTGCGAGCCTTGGCGGGGCTCTGTTACCTCTCGGGGATGGGCGGTGATGCGGTCCAGGCTGAGGGAGAAGACGGCGTTTTTGGCCCCGACGAAGAGGCGCCCGTGGCTCTCGTCGAGGAGCATGGTCCGGGGCTGGAAAGAGGCGGCGTGCCCCTGGAACACCCATGTCCGGTTCAGCTGCCAGAGCTCTGCACACGCAGAGGAGAGAGGAGGAGAAAGCAGAGGGCATGTGAGAGGCAGATGGTGAGCTCAGAGTTTGGAGAATTTTGATCCGACTTTTATCGGATGGGTTTGTGAGGCCTGCAGGGTACAGCTGTTTGGTTTCAATGGTTTTTGATCGAGATTGGAAGAGATGAGACATAATTTTGGCCCAAAAAAATTCTTTACTTTGGGATTGTAGGCTTTTGAATGTGTACAGTAGGAAAGTAATTACCACTAGATGTCCCAAAGCAGTCAATTTGATGGCTTGTAATTGTGGAATAATAATAACTTTCAGAATTTTTCTGTATCAAAGTACTTTATTTCTATGTCTTTATTATTAAATGATTAATGTAATTAATAGTAAACATTTTACAAGGGAATTTCTCAATTGGTTTGCATGGGGGCAGTCATAATCAGAATCAGAATAATTTTTATTGCCACGTAAGTAACAAATGATGACGGCTCTGGGAGTTCTAAAAGTTGTCGATTTCTGGGAGTCTATAGTGTTAACATTGATAATCAAAAGAAACCTTGACATAACATCAATTAGTTGCTTGGATCCCAAAAAGTAAATCAAAGATCTAGCGACGCCTCTGAAGGATGTCTTCATAAAGATGACTTGGTAAACATTGGGTTGTTTGGGTTATGTAAGATTCAAAATTCTTTGTAGTTACTGTCCAAGTTCTTATTGAAAGACATCTCAAGACAAAAACTTAATAGTAAAAAGTCAAAAGCAGACTTAATGAACCAATAAAAAAATGTCCTCTCCCAAAGAAATCAGTAGCACCACACACAAATAGAACATTGCATTTAGTACAACAACAATCCCAACACATCTGCACAAAAACTAAGCAAATGTTAATAATCAGCTTCATGGACTGAGGCACAAAAGAGTTTTTTAGGGTGTATTCAGACCTGAAAAGTCCTTTGCTCCGCTTGCTTGATCCGAATCAAAAGCGGACCAAACTTTTCACACAATTCACTACATGTTGTGGAATATTGCTCTTTGAGACATGAGTCAAACAGTGTCAGGCTTTTAATAATGCAAATGGTTTGAAGATGCTTAACATCAATGTATACTGTGAACAGTTTTAACTCCATAAGCCTGTTGCACAGCGTCTCCTCACTGCTCCAGGTCTGCACACGGCTCATTGTTGTTGTGTAGCGTTAGCAGCATAGTTAGCATCATACATGTAGTTAGCAGCTGTGACGCGTGGCTAATTCCTCACAATTTCTGTCTCCGAGACCACCTAAAAAAGTGGGTCTCGGTCCGGTTCTTTGGTCCGTACCAGGATTCGTTTGTGTGTATTCAGACCTGCATAAAAGCTTCGGATCAGAATTCCAAACGAATCCTGGTCCGTTTAAAGTGGAGCAAATGTGCTGGTCTGAATACACCCTAAACCTGTGCTTTAACATAGACATAAAAATCACGCTTGTGGGACAAATCCGGGGTGGCTAGATATTATTCAATGGCTCTTAAAAAATTTTCAATTGATTTGTCCCACCTTTGATGTGTCTCACCTGTGTTCTTGTGTGTTTAGTTTGTGTGCTCCCTGTCTCATGTTCCAGATTGTCTCGCTTCCTCGTGTTCTTGCATCTAGCTATTGTTTTGTGATTTTTGCCTTTTTCTATTAAAACTCCTAAACCACCTTTTGACATTGGATCTGTTTTTAAGCCACTTTTGTACAAGCCTGGTAATGGGGGTATGTTTTTATGCCAGAGAGTGAGGGAACAATCCTGTAATATTGTTCAAACCAGAAATGACTTCATCTAAAAGAGGTGACAGAGAACAAATGTTTGCATGAGAACAATTGAGGGGTCAAAACTAGTTCGGCCCATGGATTCACTTTTTTTGCCATTTTAAGGCTCCTCCGAGACAACTGCTTTTGTGATTCAGGGCTATACAAAAAAAACTTCAATTTAAGGTTAGGAACTCCAGCTTGACCTGCATGATTTGTTGATCTCATGATTAGACCAACAACTTGACGAAACTAAGAAAAGATGCCTTCAACGGTAGGCCCACTCTGCCTTCTGTCAAACTGAAGAGAGATCACCCTGACTTTCAAGTGGCTCAGCATGTGGTCAGCTTCAACAGTCTTCTTCCACTTTTATCTTTTAACAACCTCATTTGGTCCGGAGACGTTGGTTTCCATAGCTCTCTGGCGTCACCGGTGCCACACAGCGTGCATGAAGCCATTGGCAGCAGTTTGGGGCTTGAGTCGCGGCCAAGGGCACTCTGGAACATGTGGGAGCCATTGGGAAGGGTTATCAGCCCATCTCTAGGGCCTGTCCCGTGGGTCCACAGGTCTCGTCTTACCCAAAGACCCGGACTGCGCCCAAACGCCAAATCGGATTACTTGCTTCCAAAGTTCAGGCGGACCGAACGCGACAGGTCGTGACAGATATCGGCCGGAAACTAGTGTGTGTGTGTGTGCGTGTGTGTGTAAGGTTACCCTGGCGATCTATACATGGTTCCAATTTGCACCTGAAGACCGAGCGTGTGTGCAAAGAAACAGAAAAACTCAAACGATAATGTTTTAAAATGCACAAGCTAATTAGATTTATAAATATTAGATTGATGCACTTAGATTGTTGTTGTCTTTGTACAATTCAATAGTTGTAGCTAATCCAATAAAGCTGGGGTACCTAATACTTTTTTCCAAAACAACACATTTCGTTTTTCCCAAAAGAAAGTCATGCAGTTCTGAACATATTTTGTGATGGAGAATTTGTTATCAGGATAGAATTGTGTTTTTTTTTTGTGGTATAACATTATCAACACAAAATTGTATGTATGACGTTGTAACTTCTGTGGATTTTACCGAGATCAGGCGCAAGAAAAACCTCCCAGTCAGTACTGAAGTAACAACTATTAAATATCTCAGTACTTTTGTTTGTCCGAAGTTTTTATTGTGGGCTTGCTCCTTTTATGGTCAGTGTGATTTATAAGAATAAGCTGAACTGTATTATGGTCAGAGTTGTACAGAGGTGGCTTGCTTTTGCTGCATATGCATTTTTAGTATTTCCATAGCATTTATCTAGTATTTTGTCCTTTCAAGAGCAACTTTTCACATATTGTTCGTAAACAGGAAGGGAAATTTCAAGTCCCCTAAAATCAGTCCTGAAGCATCAGGTGTATGTTGTGATTGTCTGTGCACACACTCAGCCACTTGTGTTGCAGCCCTTTTCTTTTGGCTCATGTTAAGGACTGTAAAATACAAAATACAACATGCCCTCGTCATCTAATTATGATAAAATATTATCTTTTGAATACTTAGCAAGTGCCCAAATTTAGTCACTATGTATTTGACACTTTGGGCTTCGAGCTGATTGGCTGTGTGAGGCTGGTCCTCAGTTTTTTTACTTTTCTGTCTGAAAAAGCTGATCCAGACAAGGAGGGCAAAAACACTATAAGGATAAAATCACTGTTTTAACTATAGACATGGACTTTTTAACGTGGTTTTAATGTTTTGTGGTGTTCAAATTTCTTCTGTCCTCTGAACAAAATTACTTAGATGGTTACAATCCCAAAAAAACAAAGTCAAAAACAAAATCTAAAATTCCAAAAAATAGCTTGGTGGTAGTCAGTCAATGAATTTGAATGAGGAGGTATTTTTTGCTTATTTTTAAAGGTTGGTCCCAAATCACTGTTTCTCTCTGGTTGATATTTCCAGAGTTCATTCAGTGGCATTTTTCTGTGTCTTGATGAGTCAATAATTACCCCAAAAATGGAACAATTTTGGCTGATTTGGATTAACGGCGCCAGAGTCGGAAAAATTAGGCCCGCTGAGAACAAAGCAACATCTTCCTCACTCATGTGTCTTTCTTTTAATGTTTAATCATAGCTTATGGAAGTCAACAAGTGGAGATGGCGTCAGTGTAGTCTCTTTAATTGTCAACTTCACACCAAACAGAACTCTGTCAAGTCAACAGTTAGAAATCAAACTTTAATCAATGCATCCGGAGCTTTGACTTCAAGCATAAGGTCCTTTACCATGAGAAAGAAACTAGTGTGAGAAGGAGGTGAGGATCACCCATAGACTGTAAGACTGTAGACTTGGGCCAAAAATAGTGCTCTACTGGAGCTATCTGCGCATGTGTCAGCCGTCATTTGTACGAGAGACTTCAAAAATTCACAGCGAGTAAACTAGAGTGGTCCAAAAAAATTCACCCCCCTCAGCATTGACACACATGTGGAACGGAGCTTTGGGCCAAGAGCCAACTTTTGGACCATCCTGTAAAGACGTTTTCGAGATGTAAGAAGATGCTATATGTTAGCATTGGCTAATTCTTATTCCGGGTCCGCCCCCATCGGCCCGGGGTGGTATCGCAAGCATGTCAGCACGTCATTTTGGCCACTTTTGAGCCGGGACCCGCCCCCACTGGGATCACCACCACTTTTAAGCCCAAACATGCTGTTTGATGATTTGCTCACAAAATGTTACCAAAGTTCACCTTTGACTTTCTTCTGGCACAGACAAAATTTATTCATGAAACCACAAAGTCAGGTACCCCAGCTTTAACACATGTTTCATAGATTGAAATATAATAACGAGCACTACTTGTTGCTCTTCTCTTAATTGTATTCACATATTAAGTATTTACTGTACGTCACTTTGGATAAGGATCTTTAAACTGATCCTGTATGAACAGTGTTGTTAGGATGGTGTTATTTGCATCTCTTTGTTTTGAATAGACAAACTGCGGAAGCTTATTGCATTTACTTAGATTTTTCTTTGAAAGTTTTTTTTTTTTTAAGATACGTTCCGGGTTTTAAAAGAAAACAAACGTTTTATGAGTGAGGTAAATCTGGCTTTTGTAACTTATTACACTACTTTTAAAGATCAACCATTGATGGCCCTGTGCCAGAGGCTGTACAGAAGTGAGGACTACACATGTTGTCTTATCAGAAGAAAATAAATCATGATGTTCTTTCTTCAACTAGACAAATTCAGAGAAAGAGACACTCTCTCTGTATTTTGTGTTC